CGTCTCTTAAGATTATTTTATGAAAGGAAAAAATGGACTCAAACGCAGGATCAATATCTGGGCCTGAAAGGGTCAAACGAAGGGTTAAACGATCATTCTTGTCCTTTGATATTTCTCTCTTTACTCGAGTGAGATTGGATCGAGATATGATATCATATCTAGACTCGGACACGCAAACGAAAGGGAGGAGATTCTACGCCGACGCCGACGCCGAATTACGTCGGCACCACGGCGAGATTCGTGGGGAAAGGGAAGAGTATCCTGGAAGCGTGTCTTCACGGTGGCTGGACACCGGCACTTCGCAATTCTCTCCTGCGTCCCTCCCGCCATCTCCCAAGTCAGCCACCGTCGTCTTCTCCCCTCGAGTTTGTGCAGGCCACGCTTTTGCGAACAACTCCTTCGGCGCATTTAGTACGTGTCCGTAACGAGACCACGAAGAATCGTACGGTCGGGTGTCGAGAACGAGGCGTAACGCGCATTACTCGCCCCTGTAAAAGGGAACGAAAACGGAAAAGGATAGATATATACGTTGTTCGTTTTTTGCGCGAGACTTGAGTGAAGATTTTTTCAGAGAGCTAATCCTCCCTGTGGATTTCGTCTTCGCGCGGGGATCTCCTCAGGACCCCCCGGGAGAAACGCGCGAGCTGGTTTAGCGAACGGTGCTCACGTAAAAGGTAAACGTCTTATAAAGGCGAAAATGCAGTTTCATTGGATACATTTCTCTGGTCCCTCGTTGCTTGTCATTTCTTTCAATTACTTTGATTAACCCAATTAAATAATTCTATTTCTTGATTGGAGTCAAAGAAGTATAAGTCAATGGACGATAAGAGGCAATTGCTGATCTGATGGGCACAGATAGGGGAAGCCGAGACTAGTTGATTATCGGTTAGTAAGTTGGTAAAACCGGTTATTTTTAATATTTTCTAACAAGTTATATAAAATTAAACAAGTCAAATTTTTAAACATATTAAAGATAGTTTTGAAATTCCTGTCTGCTGATTCTGAAATCTGTTAAAAAACAATAGAAATAATCGATCTTGCCAACTTATCCCGATGATCAAATAGCTGCGGTCTCCCCTGTATCAGAAAGTTGGCTTTGTAATTTGTGCATGCGTGTACATTTCTTTACTTAATGCATGCATTTCTTTATTTAACTCTTTTTAATATAATTTTAATTTGTATTTTTTAATGTAGCTTATGGTGAGATCTATATTGAATTTAAAAGTGAATTAATATTAATGAGAATTTTTTAGTGTAACTTACTTTTAATAATTCTCTTTTTAATAATATATATATATTTTTTTAAATATAGTTTATTAATATACAAAGTGTTTAAAAAAGTATTAACACTTTTAAAGCAAATTCTCTATACAAATATTTAAATATAATTATTTAATATAAATATTTTTCAAGCAATTTGTATTTCTTTTTAATGAAAATATAGCTTATAAATAAATTTTTGATAAATTATACTTTCTAATATAGTTTTAATAACTTTTAGATTGGCAATTGGCTCTTATTATTTATTGTTTATTGTTTATATATTTTCTTTATTATTAATTTTCTTTCTCCATTAACCAATGTCGATAACGCAATAGAAACGGTTTTCTAAAAGATAAATATCACAAGAATAGCGCAAGTGACTAATTTTTCAACAACTTATACACAAAATAGAGCATATTTCGCAAGATCGAGGATTATTTTAGAATTAAAAGAATTCATTCATTCAGGGCTCATTAATTGCTCTTAAAGATCCGTCGTTTGAATTTCTCGTATCGCTTGATTCCTACAAAGGTGCACGACCTTCCTCATTGTTGCACGTTGCATAACGACGCGGGGCACAGTACTTGTGGCAGAAAATGAGATGTATGCGTACAGGATATCTGACTGACTGTCTGACTGACGGTGAAACATCCAGGAAGCCGGAATCACTTTCACTGAAATCGCGTCGGGCCGCCCGGGATGGTTCGATCGGGATCGAGCTCGACGACGGCAACGGTAATGAAACTCGGAGACAATTAACTGCGTAACGAGCGCATCTCTCCTCTCTCGTGCAACATTACAAAATGGGCCATTCCATTAAGCAAGCACGTGCCATGTACGTTAAGCGTTTAATTAAACGCGGCTCGAGTCGAGTGAAATCTTCTCGTGCTATCTACGAACAAATTAGCCTTCGACTCCTCGCTCTAGTTAATAGTTTCGCCCCGATTTAAGAGTGCATATTTTTTATTTTACTAATTAGACTTTATTGACGGTACGAGATATGTAATCCATTACTGGCAAACATGTACTACGAAAAATTAAAACCTCGAAATTCGCCCAGACAACATAATGTCTAAAATCGGGACATAAGACGTTTTAAAGATCATCTTTAAGATGTCTTTCAGACGATTTATGTATAAATGTCTTAAAGATTATCTTTAAGACGTCTTATATCCCGATTTTAGACATTATGTTGTCTGGGCGGAAACTGCGTTTTTTAATTTTCTAAAAAGTCGTAATATAAAAATCCGAAAACAGAAACAATATCCTGAAATACAATTTTTATAGTAAGTATACAAGCCCTAAAGACTTTAAAAATAATAAAATAATTGTGAATTAACATTTTTATGTATTTACAATTCTTCTAATATTCTAACGTGATATTAGAAGTCGATATTAAATATATATATATATATATATATATAACATATAATAATAAATATTATATATAATATATTATATAGAATATATTATATAGAAATTATTATCTAAGAAAAAATATTAGAAGACGAGAAAATCTGACCGATTGAGTCAATAATCATACTTTTTTTATTATTTATTTTCTTACAGTTACATAGTTAGTTATCTAATTTATCTTTTTTGCACCGACTTCTAATATTCTAATGTTAGAATATTAAACTAGAACGTAAGTACATAGAAATATTGATTCAAAATTATTTCGTACTTTTTAGAACTTTTGATATTTCTGAAGGACATTTTGAGTTTTCTAAAGGCAATTGATTTCTTTTATTTCGCGCACGTGCTTTTTAATTATTGAATAAAAGTTTAAAAATCGGTCAAAAATAAAGGTTTCGTCTTATATCTTTAGATGTTCTCGGATTTTTAAGGAAGTAGTAGAATTATTCAATTTTCACCTAGGTAGATCAGAATAATGACACTAATCTAGGAACCATGCAGATAACATTCTGAATAACTTATAAAAAACTTTCATCTCGGTATAAATGCCTTGCTCGGTATAAATGGCTTTTGCTTTGATCCCCCCGCCTCCCTCCTTCTTCCTGCTGATAATATAATAATCTCGAATGATTCTTCAGTTATGAGGGAACATACAAACAACCAAACATACGGAACAAATTAAAGATTTTTTCTTGAAGTTAGCTAAAAGATGATAACTAAAAGATTTTTTGTACTCTAATATTGTTATGTTACAACACGATTTTTGTGAAAGAATTCTTGTGACCAGTCTCATACTTTAATAAACTAAACACGAGAGAATTTTTCTAATCCGTCCATGATGAGTTAATATCTATCTATTTGGGTATACTGTTGTGCTCAAATGAGTATATACTGATGCACTGTAATTGCACAAAGGGACAATTCCAATGTTTCCCTAAAATTATACTTCAGGAGATTGTCTCGGGGTATGCAGATTTCAGTATTACGACTTTTCAATAAATTGTGTATCCTATATTTTCTAAATTTCGGTACATTTTTTCGAGACAATACAATTCTACCCCTAGAATGATGTAACATACGGAAGCGGAGCCGCCCACGTGGTAGCACATCGCTCGCCAACACACGTGTATCACATTGTGATCTCGCTCGGGCTTTATCGCGAATCGCGGCGGTGTATCGACATTATTCACGTGCGAATGGCTTTTCAGGCCGCCCGATTGTTTACTCCTCCTTGCGACCGTCCTGCGTGTTATGAAATCCGCGTGTTTACGCGTGACAGGATCTCTGAACGGTGAACGGCCTTATCCTTGGAAGTGTTGCTTACACTATACGATTGTCACGCGCGATTATGCAAGCGCGAATGTGACGTTATCGAGTGCTCGCCGAGCAAATAATTAAGAATCCAGTCTTGAAGAGCGGAACTTTTTATTCTGCGAAATGCATATTACGCCGCGAGACCACCACAGCGACGACAAAATCTCTCCTCCGAAGAAGAATGTCCAGTAACCGACATTCGTTCAGCACTTATCAGTTTCCGGCATCCTTGCAATCTCATTCGATATCAGAGTGTATGGGGATCCATTCATTATTTTCTAATTGCTCATCAATTATTATTTATTATTTATTCATTATTATTTATTATTTTTCATTATTCATTTATCATTTCATTTTTCATTTATCATTATTCATTATTATTTATTATTATTTATTATTTATTATTTATTCATTATTATTTATTCATTTTCTTTTAAATCTGACTATATTCTTTAATACTCAACAAGGTCTGCGCAAGAGTGCCGAAAAATAGATAAAATAGCGATTACTGGACGTTCTTCTCTACTTTCTCTGTGGTGACGCGAGTGCAAATTTTCATACTAAGCGGGTGAATCGCGTTCTCTACGTATTCATCGCGCCCGCTGTACACAGAATATACATTACGGAGGCGCGCTCGCGCGACGGCAATTATTGCGGACAACGATTGTCCTAGCGGTCTTTAGCTTTGCTTACGGTACGGGACATCAATTTTGTCGTCTGCGACCGTGACGTGTGTTACACGTACGCACGCACATAAACGGACCCGGCGTTAGGACACGCGTACGCGTATCCTGTCTAGTCCTGTTTAGAAATATAAAATTACCAAATTTAAAGTGACAATTACTTACGGTAAGATAATTTATTGGTAATTTTGCTAAAATTCATTATTTTTGATAGTTGCATGATATATTCATGTTTTCCTACTAATACATAAGATAAAACTACATATTCTTTATTATATTCTCATCAAATATACATCTGATAATCTCTGAAGTGTCTCTCAAATGAAAGAAAGAAACTATTTACAATATTTCGAAAGTAAGTATTAAAGTTTTCGTTTCTTAAAGTACTACTACAAATTTTTAATTATATATCACAGTCTAGTCGCTAAAAAAGTAAGGTAACAAATGAAAATGCTATAATCCTGTATGATAGTATGAAAAATATAGATTGAAATTGTTTTCGAGCTATAAAAAATATAAATAAAAATTTAAAAATTTTTTAAAATTTTTCTAGTTACTATGTGCCTAGTTTTCTAATTATTGTATGCTATATACATAATAATAATATCAAAAATATTTTATGGAAAATATGAATTAAATCAAGTGTCTTACTCATCAAAGGCTAAATGCTCCTCTTGACCTTTATACCAAAATATTTTTATTTCTATAATTTTTTTCTAAATTATCGTTTTACCAGCTTTCCAAAATTACCGAGTAATTTACTGTAATTTACCGAGTAAGTTACTGTCGGACTAGGTTATTTTTATCTCTAATCCTGATCGTACCGTGACCGACTGTTCAAGGGCTCGCGAAATGCTCGCGAGATCCCACTGTCGTCGGCTGCCGTTTCGTCTCGTTTCGTCTCCAGCGAATTTCGCGCTTCCCTTCGCCCACGCGGAAGCGCATGCAATTAACTAAAGCTATTCCCGTGCGCGCGACTCGTATAAGGTAAAAATATCAATTCCCGGACACGTAGGGGAAAGTATGAAACAGATTGATAATATGAAGCAAAGCTGATTTCTTAAACAATTGCTACGATCTGTCTCAGTAACTGAAATAAACATAATTATTAGGGTTGCGAATAATTAATTACTTTTTTAATTAATTTTAATTCGCAATTGATTTTAACAAATTCAATTGAAAACCGTTTTATTGAAAATGGAGTTCAATGAATTTGCGACTTTTCTAAGTCTCTTTTGATAAGTTTAAAAGTTCTACATAATTTGAATTATTAAGTTTAATTTTCATAATTTTTACAAGAAATTTGTTTATTACTGATTACACGAATACATTATAAGACTTATATTTATTAACACAACATACAGATTAAATTATTGCATTTAACATTAGATTTTTCGTCTAAAATAAGAAAATGGTCCCTAAAAGGTTTCCACCTTCTCCCCTGCTTAATTCTAGGCATTCTTATTGTTTTGGTTTTAAATATAAACACTTCAAAATTCTTAACATAGAATATATATATATATTTTTTATATTGAAAGTTAAAATATTTGTATTTAAATATTCATTAAAATATTCGCGTTTTAACAAAACAATAAGAATTCCAGGATTAGATACGTGTTCGGCCTTTGGTATTGTTTACTCGTCTTCGGCGTGACGCACGTCATTCAACGATAAATCACGCGCGGAGCGACGCAATAGCGGCCGCCTGAAGGAAATGAGGAAAGTCCGGATGCTCTTCTATATCGGACTACCTAATCTAGAAAATAATGGTCTAGAAAAGCTTCCAACACTTCCAAAGTCGCTTAATTAGCGACTTTCAGCGCGCGCTCGCGATCAAAGCGGTGTCCAATTAACGGGCGTTTTGGAGAACGTTCGTTTCCCTGGAGCTTCCTCCGAATTCGAGGTCTTGCACGTGCTATCGTGTGCGCAAACGCATGTTCCAGAAGATGCGGAAGTGCTGCTCGTGCTGGTCGTAGACTACGGTCCAAATGCGCGATGGTCAGGCCATCGGAAGGCGGTGGGCTTCTGATAGTCGGCTGGCTTCTGGCGCTGCGCTCCATCGGCGCCGGCGCCCAGCTGGATCCCGATTACGGATGTCCCCCTCAGGAGAGGATACTGCCGTGCAGATGCTCGACGCGCGACATGGAGCTTCAGATATGGCAAGTTCATAAAAATACACACGAGGCGAAGTACCAACTCGTAGGCCATTTTGTTACCAAATTCGCTCGTTACCAAGCGTGAAAAATGCGAAACAATACGAGTGAATTATTCAAGCGGAACAGAAAATCACGACAACGTCAAAATGATGAAAGATAGATCAAATTATGATCGAAAAGTGAGTCTTTTAGTCATTTTTTTGACATTTTGACATCATATCGACGTCAACGAATATTTGCAGCAAGAAAGCTAGCTTATCAAAATGCAAAAGAGATACTTCGCTAAGAAAGATGAATTAAACAAAAGAATGCGCAATTTAGCTAATTATTCCATAAAGTAATATTTGGGACATTTTCTAAGATGTCAGGATTATTGAAAGAAAAATATATAAACCAGTGCCTAAAGATTTCTTGATCTTTTGTGGTTTAGTTTCATTATATCCCCAAGCAACAAAACAGGGGATCTTGACCAAATCAAAGTTAGATTGTCCTAATTAAGTGAAAAATTACTAATTTTTTACATAAAAAATGTCTTAAAAGTCAAATAGCGTTTGATGTCTAGTATATAGGTCGAAAATTACGTAATTTAAATATACAAAATGTCTTCAAAGTTTAGTGATTTTAAAGTTATATGTTAGGTTAGAAATTGCCAAATTTTTTCAACTTTATTCCCCACTTACCTTCTTCCGATCTCAATTCAACGCACATTGGATTTGGTCGAACAAACTTTTGAACCTATCAGAAGATCGAATAGATGTAATTTCGCTCTAATTTGCTGCTTGGGTCTATACATATACAAGAAATCCAATTAATCTATTTCACACTATAAAACAGTAAAATATTTTTTATCAGTTTACATCTTATTGTATTAAGTGTATTTCCTAATTTTAAACTTACTTGTATTTCTCTTCATGTGCAATACATTTAATAATGTTTCAAGCCGCAATATATTTAGTTTTGAAATCACTAACTTTCATCGTGCAATTGCATAAGTAGTTTCTTAGAAGTGAACTTCTGCTCTTTTGTAGAAGTAGTAAAAATATATTCTACAGGATCTCCTCCTGGTAGAAAATAATTCACAATTATCTATTTTAATATTACTATCACTTAAACAGATTATCTAATATATTAAGCTCGGAAAATAAGCATTACGTATAAGGCTGCAAGTTATTTTTTGTCTACTACTTAGTAAGTACATTTGAATATAACTGTAACAGCAGTAGAATTATATTTCTTTGGTAATTTGTTAGCGCAATTACTATTTCGTGTATGATTCACTCATAGGTTTTTAAAGCGGGGAATTTGATTGCATATCTGAGAGTCTTTACTTTCTCATAATCTTCTAATTACGACAGACAAACACTTCGGTCAATTTGTCTTCACACGACCTCATGTGATTTCGCGCAGGTGTAGTCATAGCGAGCTACCGAAGGTATTGGAGGGACTCAAGGCGGTGAGCCACTATGTGGACCGACCGGTGGACGAGCTGATTCTAGAGAACAACAATCTACCGAGTCTACCTGGCAAAGTATTCGCAACCCTGCGTGTCTTGCGCCTGATGCTACGGAATAACCGTCTCGAGAGGGTGTCGTCCGGCTGGCTGGAGGGTCTGCACGACTCGCTGCTCGAGCTCTTCATTGTCGAGCCGGATCTACGGTCCTTACCCGTGGACAGTCTGGAGAATTTGCACGGTCTCGAGGCGGTAACGCTGCAGAGCCGGGTGATGAAGCGACTGCCGAAGTTCTCCAGCCTGCCGAAGCTCAGATACCTGCAGATCAACTCGCCGGCTTTGCTGGAATTAGCGCCAAGGAACTTCCGGGACATTCCCAATCTGGAGCAGTTGCACGTGTTCGGCAGCCCGAGACTGACCAGGCTGGAAGCCGGTCTCCTTCGAAGCCTACCGCGGCTGGAGTTGATCAATGTCACTGACTCCGGCATCCACTGGATCCATCCGCGGGCGGCAATCGATCTACCGGAATTAAAGGAGATCTCGCTAGTGGGAAACGCGATAATCGACGCCGCCATGGTCGGCCGTGCGTGCGTGGACCTGCCCTCGTTGTCGGTGATACGTCTCGATCGTAATCGCATCAATCGCCTCGGCGAAGGTTCGTTCGTCGACCTGCCGGTGTTGTCGCGCCTTTATCTGTCGCGCAATCACATTACGGAGATGTTTGCCGGCGCATTCCAGCGCGTGCCGGTCCTCAAGTCGGTGGACTTGAACCATAACTTGATCCACCGTATACATCCGGAGTTCTTCCCGCGCCGTACGGGAAACGTGCTGGAGGAGATGTGGCTGATCAATAATGATTTGAGCCACATAGCCGAGATACGATCAGTGCTTGAAGCTTTGCCGAGATTGAAGTTCCTAGACGTCAGTCACAATCAGCTGGAAGAGATACCGTTCGGAGCTCTGAGAGGCCACCCCACTTTGGAGAGGCTGCACCTCAATCACAATCGATTGGCGTTTCTGCAAAGGGAAACGTTCACGGCGATGCCGGCGCTCAGAGAGCTCCGGCTAAAGAACAATTCTCTGTCGAATCTGCTGGAGGCTCCCTTCTGGAACTTACCCGCGTTGAAGGTAAAGAGAAAATATTATAGTAAAAATTGTGTTAAAATTATATTTCTTTTTACAATGCTTTTGTAAAGCTAAAATATACTGAAATTATAGTCTAAATTGTTATAGAAATATTAAATTTGACAATCTCTCTCTCTATCTGGGATATATAATATAAAAAATATTCAAGTAATTACAATAATTCTGCAGTAAAAAATCAAACGTGTGTATGAACCGCCATGGTGATTACCAGTATTATAATATTGCCGCGTCTAATTTAGGTAAAAAAAAACATATATATTACTATTTACAACAAATAAAATATATAGTCAATAAAAAACCAATAAAAGAAAAATAAAATATATCTACCGTGAATTATTTACCATATTTATTTACCACTTATTTGATGATCTAAACTTGAGTTAAGCATTAAAATAAATTAGCGTGGGAGTTAATGTGTTAATTTAGCTTAATCGTTAACGCTTTGACGCTCCGTCTCATCAACCACACCGTGATCGTGCGCTGAGGAGAAAGTGTTTGATATTTGTGACTATAATTGCATAATAATTGTAGTTAGTAAAGATAATTAATTAGAAATGATTATCGTCTGGAAAATCATTTCTATGATAAGTGCTGTTATAAAGTTAATGATAATAATATTATATATATCTTGCTATTACTTCCTTGATAGAACAATGTTGCATTTACTTATCATAAAAGTGGACTATACAAATTGCATTTACTTGTACAGCTGTCAGCTTCAAAGCAGGAGGGTTGATGGCGAGAATTCATTGGTTTTTATGGCTAGTGATAAAATAAAAATCTCTACAGTCATAAGAAATAATGTCGCCAATAACATTTGATAGTTTGATGGAGAAAAATGTCGATTAGTTTAACATCTGCATCAACTTGTATTTAATGCTTCTTATTCTCTTTCGCTAGAAACGTCTCTAAAAGTGGTTTATAGTCAGTCAGAAGACTTATAAAGCAAAGTTATAGAGCAGAGAGCGAGAATTCAGTATATAGACACGTTGTCTCAAAGCAACAACGGGTGATAGAGATAGAGGATTAAAGAAATGACTTCACTGAGCATTTTAGTATTAAGCACTCTTTTCTATCAGCGTGATCGCTGCGGTGGTTTCAGGGGCTGGATATCTCGGAGAACTACTTCCGCCACATAGAACCGCATCTGTTCACCAACTTGCCGAATCTCAGGCGGTTGGATCTCAGCGGTAACGCGATCAGTCTCATCGAGCCCGAGTCCTTTCTGAATACCCCAGCACTGGAGCACGTCAACGTGTCGGGTAACGCCTTATCTGTCCTTCATCCTCTCACCTTCCGCCACCTAACGAACCTCTACGAACTGGACGTTGGTTGGAATCGCATGCTAGAGGTGGTACCTGGTTTGCCAAAGGATATCGAGCACCTTTACATGCCGATGAACCGCATCGTCGTTTTGCCGGTGGTGACCTCACAGGATTTAGCCCTGCCAGCCCTTCGATCGCTGGACTTTAGCGCGAACGGCATCGAGAGAATTACGCCCGGCACTTTCGCCGATTTGCCGAGCCTGAGGAGACTGAATCTGGGCTACAACGCGCTGCGGCTTCTCGACGACGGTGCCTTCGACGGGCTCAATCGATTGGAACAGTTGGACCTGAGATACAATCGGCTGGTCACGTTGCACGGACGTAGCTTCCGGCCGCTCAAGTCGTTGATGGACGTGAACCTGCGGGGCAATCGAGTGGAGGTCCTCCGGCCGGATATCTTTCAGGAGAACATACGGCTGCAGAGGATCGATTTCAGCAGGAATAATCTCGCCCAAATTCCCCACGCCACTTTCACCAATACAAGGTAAGACATATGTTGAAAGATTTCATAAAATTTGTCTTGCATAATGGAACACATTTATAGTTGTGATAAAGTTATAAAATAAAGGTTGTGCAGTAAGCAATTCCAGGATAAAAATTTTTAAGTGAGAAATATAATTTTATGTCGTTATATAATTTTATGAGAAACATAACTGAGAGAAATCATCCGATAAAAAATTAACAAATGGATATTTCCGTTTAAAATATCGATGAATTTTTGTATCCGATCAGGAAACATCAGATGAGAAATATCAGTTTATAATTTTTTGATCTGATAAAATGTCATATGATCGAAAGTAAATTCTTCTAATTAAATTTAATTGGATATTCTGACCGGAATTTGATCGGAAATATCCGTTTATTAATTTTTTATCGGATAATTTCTCTCAGCGAATGTATTATTTTGATCTTCTACTATCCTTCGTATATATTATTTTGTAAAATTATGACAATGTAAAAATATAATCGTTACTTAAAGTATCTAAAATTGCTTATTATACGATCCAGTAATATTATAAAAGATATTTTTAAAATGCATCGTGAGTATCTATCACAGAAATTTATTGCTACATAAATTTTATTTATCTTTTGCTACATATATCAAAAGCATTATCATATAATGTAACTATACATAGAAAAATAAGTTTAGTTGGATTAAACAAATGTCTAGTAAAATGTGAACAAACCAAAAATTCCAGTTTTGAAGTCACCAGAATTTTGTTCAAATTAGTAAAACGTCTAGTTAACTAGAACTTGTAACTGTTCAAGTTAGTTAGAAATCTTGTTGTATGTACACAGAAAAAAAGAATTTCTTGTTTGTAGTTAAATTAACACAATCATTTTCTCATATATAAACAAAAATATCAATATTGTTATTTATATGATTGTGTTAGTTATATGGTTATATTTGTTAAATGATTATGTTAATTTGACTATATTCGTTTTGAATAAAGACTAATAATATATAACTAAAAATATTAATATTGTAATATTCTATAAGAAAATGATTGTACGTTAATGTTATTATATTCGTCTTAGTTGAAGACTAATTTACTTTCACCCAGCATCATATAATCTTATTTTAACATTAATATTATTTTTAAAATTTCAACAATAAAGATATTCTCCAAACAAGAATATTCTTTTTTTTGTATAGAAGTTATATTACTTGAGGATATATTCTATTTTTGGTTATCGTAATGAATTTCATAACTCGTCCTCTTCTAGATTCTTATTCGATTTTAGACAATGCTTATTTTTGTTCACGTGTGCTGTCGTGCGGGAAGAACAGAAAATATCAATTTACCGCGGTGTAAGTTTGTTGAAAAAATGGTTTTGAATCTAATATTGAGCGCGCAGTTTTCCCCGTTACCTCGCTCTCGTCTTGTGCTCTAGTGGAAAAGCAGTTTCACTCGTGGTTACTTGATTGCATCACTCGCAAATTGGTACCTAGAAAGTTCTTCGTGCACACGCTAATATCTCTTTCACGTTGTTGTATAGCATCGGCCTGGCGTGTCGCCTAATTCATGATGGCTCTGCTCGTTTTCATACGCGATTTTATTTCACCTCTTCCCTGCCAAAGTCAACTTTGAATTTATCGTATATTCTCTCTTTATTCTTCTTTAAACAGAGAAGATCTTTAAATTTTTATGAATAGAAAAATTTATCTTTCAGACTTAGTTCGAATAAAATGCGAATATGAGGCGTCAAAATAACATGGCGAAAACGAATTGAGATCACATCTGAATCTCTCACGCGTCTCCTCAAATTCTTTCTCGCGCCAACGCGTCTAAGAAAGGCGAAACACAGATTTCTAGCCAATATTATAGTCAAAACAGCGACACACAATGTCAAAACGTTACAGAGACCTTCGTGAACTGTACGCATCGCACAATACTTTGACCGAGTTACCCGGATCGCTGCACGGCTTAACAGCTCTTCGGGTCCTCGACTTGAGCTTCAACAAGCTGAACATCCTATCGCCGGAAACTCTGAGCAGCTTGTCGTCCTTGCTGGAGTTGAAGCTGGTCAGAAACCGTATTCGAGAGCTACGGGAAGGCGCGTTCGACGGTCTACCGCAGCTGTCCCTGATCGATCTGGAAAATAATGATCTCCGAGTTATCGAAAGAAATGCGATCAGGGCGTTACCGGAGCTGCAAGCCGTCAGACTCGGCAAGAATAGATTGCAGGTCACAAATTATTCTAGACTGTTCAACCATTTCGTAATAATTTAAATCGAATAAAAATATTCTGGGTTTCTGACAATCCGCATTCCGACGAATAACAACGAATTCTTTACTATACTGTTGTGTATATCAAAAAGATACTTAAAATTACAAAATAATATTGCAAAAAGTATTTTCAAGAAACGTTGAAACTATCATTTTATAAATTTTTTTATATAAATATCTCGAAAACTTTATTACAAAGTTTGCTAATAATTAATTACATTTTTTAATTCATTATCGTGTGTAATGGATGATTGATATAAGTCAATTCAATTGGAAACCGTTTAATTTCCAATTGATTTCAACAAATTCAATTGAAGACCGATTGATTGATGACTGATCTTAGCGAATTCAATTTCACTGTAATTTAAGATTGTTCAATTAATGAGTGATATAAGCGAGGAGAATTGAAGATCATTCAGTTAATAATTGAACGTAATTAAAGATCGGTTTGAATTTATTCATATCAATCGTCAATTAAACGGCCTTCAATTAAACTCGCTAAATTCAATTGTTAATTGGATGATCATTGATTTCCTTTGCTCATATCAATCGTCAATTAAATGGCCTTCAATTGTATTCGTTGAGATAAATCGTCAATTAAACATTCTTCGACCGAATCGGTCGCTATTTAGCTGAATTAAAACATATTTGTTCACAAATAAATTAAGGAGGATTTTTAATTGATATTTTTTACAACTCTGGCTATTACGTAATATGTAAAAATCATATGGCGTGAAAATATATTCCATTTTGTTATCGTTCAATCTCAATCATCGTTATCGTTCAATATCATGCGAACATCGCAAACGTTAAATCGGAGTAATAAATGACGTTCCAACGCATGATTTTACAGTCCATCCCCAGCGGCGCTTTCACCGAACTGCCGTTGCTTCAGAGCGCTGAACTCCAGGAAAATCGCATCCAGGAAATCGCTAGTAATGCCTTCATTAACGTGCCACACTTGCTTTTCCTTAATCTAAGTCACAATCATCTGCCGGGGCTGGAGTACGTCGGTCTGGAGAGTCTACGCTCGTTGGAGGTCCTTGATCTCAGCCACAATCGACTGTCCAGGGTTTCCAGCGACAGTCTGGCGGCTATGGAATGGCTGGTCGAGCTGAAGGTATTCTCCGTGTATTCTCTCAATTAATTAATTTACAACCAATTAGCACCCATCGTCATTAGTAATGTTAATTAACAGTGCTTCGATATTTCCAGAATAAAATATAACGTTGTACTTTCTACCTCTTATTTTGCGGGCACACCTCGTGTCCTTGAAATACATATTCGAGTTGTACGAGTAAGGCGCGTAGACGCGCGAAATAACGCGTAGAAGAAAGACGAGAAACAACAATACAGCGAGATCGCGAGAGTCCGTCTTTTTTTTCGCTATGATAGAGCTAAATACTTTCTCGTCGAGAGTGAAACTCGACGCTTGAACCGCGGTGCGAAACGGACCGTTCTCTGTCGGCACAGTAATTATTCGTATACCCGCATCGTTAATTAAGGAGATAGCCGAGCCGCTTTACATACGCTTCCCTCTCTATGTGAGTGTAGATGGACAACAATCGCATCTGCGCGGTGCACGGCTCGCCTTTCGACGACATGCCAAGGCTGCGGGTGCTGAGTCTGCGGAGCAATCGCATGACCGCGGTCTCTGAGAGCGCCTTCAAGAGGTTGCGATCGAACATCGCTATCTTGGACATCGACGGTAAGAACCGATTTAAATCGATTAGCACAAGTAAACAGAAAGATAAATTTGAAGAAAGAAGATAAATTAGAAAGATCGGTAAAATTAAAGAGATTGATAAATTAAAATAAACCGAATCTCACCATCTTGGACGTCGACAGTAAGAACTACACTGAGAAAAATAATACTTGAAAATATATTTGTGGAGTATAAAGTTTATTTTATAGAAATAAACTTTATATTTTACAGAAATAAATTTATATCGTACAAGTAAATTTTCAAGTATTTTTTTCAGTACTATGTCGATTTAAATCGGTTAACATTATTAAGTAAAAAATGAATTAAAAAGATTGATAAATTAAAAAAACTGGTAGATTAAAGTAAATTGAACACCGTCTTTTTAGATGCAATCTTATAACTTTTGTCGATTTAAGTCAATTAACATACGGAGAAAGAAATTTGATTAATTGTATTAATATGAAGTTTGGTTATAATGAATAAATCAGCGCGTTCCGATTGAAACAAACGGAATTTCTAGTTTTTAGAACCAAATCTGAATTGTAAAAACCAGAAATTCTTTAACCAGAACGTATTGATTCGTTAATTAAAATCAAGTTTCACGTTAACACGTTAAACGCCAAGCCTATTTTGCTTGATGTTCCGTACGGCTTGACGCCGTATTCTATCGTTAAGTAAACAGAACCGCGCGTAATGCGCGAGCTATAGGACCATAGGACCGGCGTGACGTTTAACGTGTTAATTTAATCAAAATTTTTCTTCGTACTAAAACAGAAAGATAAATTAAAGAGAAAAGTGAATTAGAAAGATTGCATAGTAAAAGAAATACTTGAAAATTTATTTGTGTGGGATATAAACTTTATTCATAGAAACAAATTCTATTTCACAGAAATAAACTTTATATCCTATATAAATAAATTTTCAAGTATTTTTTTCCTTGGTGCAATAAATTAAAATAAATTATAACTTGATATTTCTTTCTCACCTTCTTTTGGGAAAGGAAACCCGTTATCCTGCTCTTGTGGTATGCTTTGGCTGCGAGGATGGCTACAACAGGCTTCCGCGGAGGGTCCTAGATGCGCCGACGGTTCTCTCTTCAAGGAACTCCGACTGTCGCGTCAAGATTGTCAGCGTGAGAGATATGTGGAACCGGTTCATCCAGGATGCGAAACCGAAATGATTAACGTTGCCACACCGTCGGTTTCCTCATCCGGTAAATAAATATTAAGAAAGAAGATTCACAGAAAAAAACAAAATTAATATCTACTTAAAATATATTCAAATTAATTATATTATTTCATATATAAGTAACAATATATAATTTTCTCAAACGAAATTTTGAAATCTTGAATTTTAGCACAATATTATAACTTTGTTTGAATATTATAATAGCCTCTAATAATAAAAATATATATTTTTTTTGTTAAATCATATAAAATGTATTGATGCAAATAAATTATTTCCACTTAACACTATACAATTTCATTTTAAGATTTGCATATCAAAAATAAAGATATTTTTACAACAAGAATATTCTTCTTTCTGTGTAGAGAGAAAGAGAGGAGCAGAGACAGTTTTATCTCTTCATTATTTTGAAATTTCATTATTGGAAAATTGTGTTTTTTCTTATTTGATTTCTTCGATTAATTCACTTTACAACTAGTTAATAACATATCGAGATTTTGCAGCGTTCGGAATCACGGAGACGGTGCCGCTCTGGATGAACCTGAAGGACTCCTCGACGCAAAAGCCGTCCGTTTCCCAGGACTCCGACTATTTCTACGAGTACTTGGATTACCAGCAGGACAACACGAGCGCGTCCCCGTCGTCCGGCGTGTCCACCGTCAGCGTGCCTACGCAGACCGTGAAGATCATTCAGCCACCGCAGACGCAGAAGCCGCAGACGCAGAACCAACAGAAGAACACGACGTTGCCGGTGAAGAAGCACCCCGCGATACCACCGTCGCCCAGCAGCTCCGGTTTCACTTTCTTTGGCGTGCCGTTACCGAGCCTGAACTTCAACCTGTGGGGTCACTCGGGCAGGAAAGCCGACAGGAAGGAGTTCTCGTCGTCTGGCAGACCGGGGCGCGGACGTTACCGATTCTTCCCGCCCACGGAGCCCGAGATTCACCGGGGTGGCTTCGTGCCCCTGCCGCGCGCTCAGAGCGGATTCGTGCCGATCGCCGATCCCAGGTTGACGTATAAAAAGCACGCGAAACACGAAAACACCACGCGGTCGTTAAACGCGAGCGGCACCGTTGTGCAGGAGGAACGCGCTAAAAAAAGCGGGAACAGCACCATGACCAAGGTGGAAAAAGTCACCGTTCTCAGAGCCACCAATAAAACACGAACGGAGTTTCGAGACAGGGAGGAATTGTCGACCGCGTCGACATTGGACCGATCGGCCATGCTGATGAGCTCCTTCGAGTCTCACAAAATCTCAACCGACGCTGGAAAAATTAGGTAAACCAGTCGAATTGTATTAATGATCTTCTTTATTAATCCCTTGCGTTGCAATATTTTCTCCTAGCAGTTATGCTTTCGCTATTCAAATGTGCACACTGAAACAAATTATTCGATAAGAAATTAACAAATGGATATTTCCGATCAATTTTTGTATTTAATCAGGAAACATCCTCATAATTTTTTCATAATTTCTTTGATATATATAAATAATTAATCAAAAAATAGGAAAAAGGGCAATTTGAGTTCAAGCACAGGACTAATAGTGCTATATACCATATGGGTAAAAAACCTTCCTTGTGTTAGGAAATCGTGTAATATTTATTGAACATGAATAATCAATATAAAACAATCATATGTTTCGGCTCAACCATAAACCTTCTTCAGTGATAATAAAAACTCAAAGTTTACGACACGAACGCATTACAATTAGTTAAAGACCTGCGTAAATTGACATGAATGTTAATCGCAATATTAAAGCTGACAAGACTGTTACCAAAATAATATTAAGTAGTTAATTAATATTGAGAAGTAGCCGTCATAACTACAGATTTATATACCTAGCATTAACATTGCGAAAACGACTTGTGGAAGAGAAGGAAACCAAAACAAAGTTTCATAACAAGCCGCAGTAGCTGTTGCCCAAATATTCAGTATCTTTTTGCGAATTAAAACCATGCTTCTGAAATTCAATAAATATTATACGATTTCCTAACACAAGGAAGATTTTTTATCCATATGGTATATAGCACTATTAGTCCTGTGCTTGAACTCGAATTGCCCTTTTTTCTATTTTTTGATTGATATCTTCGTTTGCGAGTTCTTATTTCTTTCTCTAAATAAATAATTAATTTTATATATATAAATAATTTTTTCAGAATTGCTTTGTTTTAAATTCGCAGTTCTTAACCGTTCTTTTAGTTAATGTTTTTTGTTTGTTTTCTTTTTTTTGGTTTATCTAGCTCTAGTACTCCGGCTACAACAATCGGCTATAAAAGTATGGAACCGATAATCGTGCAGGAGACGTCGCAAGAGGCTCACGAGACGTCGGTGTCCACTGAAATTTATGACGGCGAAAGTTTGGAGGTGAGTACAGAAGATGTTAAATTCATCGAGAAACCACAGGTGGAAGTTGTCAGCAAGGTAATCTGGACCACACCGAAAACTACGATAACACAATCGAGGAAGTCAACAATCATCAAGGACACCGTAACGGCGACAATGGAAGTAACACCATCGAAAGCAAGCAGTACCACACAGTGGGACCTTGAAGTTTCCGAACACGGGAGAGATTCGAGCCACTTGAGCAGTACAACCAATTTCTACGTCGACGGTGAGTTAATCTATTCCGTTCAAAAACTTTTCAAAATTCATTCACCAATAAATCTTAAATTTCTTAAATCGAATAAATGGTGAACGGCACGATATTTTTCCGAAAAATTAATATCTAGAGAAATTTAAGAGAAAAATAAAATAATTTCCCAAAAAGTCATAATCCCAAAATTCAGATATCGCAACAATTTTCAGAAATACAACTTTCTTAAAATATTAGAAGCGTGCACGAAGAAAATATTGTAATGAAAATTACAACAAATTTTTTTAATCTTACAAAGGACCTAACAGAACTGTCTCTCATCGATTTTGATGCGCTTTGGATATGTAGAACATCAAAAAATAAGAGACCCATATTCTTTTATATCGGCTTATCTCGAGGTTTAGGGGTTGAAACAACTCCTTGAAAAAAATGAATTTGTTCATAAAATAAAGATAAAAAATTTGACATTTCAAATAAATGAAATACGCCGTTACAAAGAATATTGAATATTGTAAAACTTTTGTAGGAAACATTTTTTTATACACCTCATATCTTAGGAATTATTTCATAAAAATGAAAAAGTTCTTTTTTTTCAAAAAGTTATTTCAACCCTTAAATCTCGAGATAAACCGATATAAAAAAATATAGGTCTCTTATTTTTTGATGTTCTACAACATATCCAAAGCACATCAAAATCGGTGAGGGACATAGATCATATAGAAATATAGACTAGATCATATAGAAATTATGATCAAGATTACTACACAGAGAGAAACGATTTGTTGAATCAAATAAACGCTTCTTTAGAATGGTCCAAACAAATTTTTTGGTTAATATATTGGGAGTACAAATTAGTTCGGTCCGTTTTTTTGTGATCAAAAATGCATTTATTTCAGAACAAAATGAATAAACAGATTAATCAAAGTATTGTCCATCGCTGGCTACTACTTTTTCCCATCTCTCAGTCAATTTTCGAATTCCATCTCGAAAAAATGTTTCGTCTTTTGAGGCGATCCAAGTTAGGAGCCAATTTTCAATTTCTGCGAAAGAAGTGAACCGGTGACCTGACAAATCGTGCTGCATCCGTCGAAACAACCAGTAATCAGAAGGAGCAATGTCCGGCGAATACGGCGGATGCGATAAAATATCCCACTTGAGCGTTTCCAAATAATTTTTTACGACTTTTGCGACATGAGGCCGAGCGTTATCATGCAGAAGAATAACTTTGTCATGTCTTTGCTCGTATTCCGACCGTTTTTCTCGTAATACACGGCTCAAACGAATCAATTGTAGCCTATACCGATGGCCCGTAATGGAATCGCCAGGTTGTAGCAGCTCATAGTATACAACACCCTTTTGGTCCTACCAGATACACAGCATGATCTTCGAACCATGAATATTCGGCTTTGATGTTGATGTTGAGGTCGATGGCAACGATTGACCGGGCATAGCGTAGTATTTTTTCTTCTTGGGGTTACCGTAGAATATCCATTTCTCATTCCCAGTCACAATCCGATGTAAAAAAACCCTTTCTTTGTTGCCTTTGAATCAGCTGCTCGCAAGTGAAAAATCGCCTTTCAACGTCTCTCAGTTTCAGTTCATAAGGCACCCAATTGCCTTACTTGTGAATCATTTCCATGGATTTCAATCGTACGGAAACTGCTTGTTGCGTAACTCCCAATGATTCTGCAAGCTCCTCTTGCGTTTGACTCGGATCTTCATCGAGTAATGCCTCCAATTCTTTGTCTTCGAATTTTTTTGGCTGTCCAGAGCGAGGCTTGTCTTCAACGCTGAAATCACCATTCTTGAAACGTCGAAACCATTTCCTACATGATTTATCAGTTGGAGCATTGTCACCATAAACTTCTACAAGCATTCGATGCGCTTCAGCTGCACTTTTCTTCCAATTAAAGCAGAAAACTAAAACCTCCCGCAAATGCTGCTTAGTTAACACAAAATTTGACATATTCAATACAGTAAAAAACAGGGGTTTTGTATGAAACTCAAAGCGATATAAACTGAATATTATTGACAGATGTCTAACCTCTCTGAAACCACCGAAATCAGCTGTCACTATGAAACATTCATAACAACCAGAGCTATCTTTTGAAAACGGACCGAACTAATTTGTACTCCCTATATTTCATAAAAATATTTCGTTGAAACTAAGTCGTAACTAAATATTTTTGTTGCGTCAAACAAAACTGTTCGATCAATCAAAAAATTTGTTTGGACCATTCCAAAGAAGTGTTTGATTCACCGAAATCGTTCTCTCTCTGTATATATTTATTTTTTTAAATGTTTTGCACATTTGACTTTTTACTATAAAACTATTGTAATTACTTGAATGTTTTTTTATATTGTATATCAGGTAAAGATTGTCAAATATATTTTTCACAATGAATAAAAAAATATTTAAAAAGTAAAAAAATTTATTTGATAGCTACTAAGAACATATTTACTTGTATTAATATACATACTTCTATTTGATATTTGAGACTCTTTCGCGGTGTCTATGAATATTATATTTGGTTTCTGGGTTTGTCGACCCAATGCCTCGGGTCGTTCCTCTGATGAAGCGAACTGAAATGTTCGCGAAACGTCGGAATCAAAGAATTCGCGCGGCTCAAACCCGAAAACCAAGTCTAATATACATACTTTTACATTAAGAAAAAATTCCTCTTAAATGAGAGGACATACATTTTCCTAAAACCGTTATGTTTCATGAAAGCAATTATTCATTCTGTTTAAACAAAATAACTTAGATTTAAGTAAATATGTTATTAGCATCCATCAAATAAATATTTTTAATTTTTCAGATATTTTTTCTCTCAATGTAAAGTAATTTATATTGCAATCTCAATATAGTTTAGCTTTACCAAAAACTTATGTAAAATGAAATATAATTTTGATTTAATCTTTATTATAATATTTTTTCCGTGCGCGCGTATACAATTGTTCCATACAAAATTACACCTAAATCAGTCTAACGAGAATATACAGAAAATTTAGCTTTTCCAAAACAACAATAACAACAATAAAAGTCTTCCACAAGAAGGTCACTTCAAATTCATTCAAGACTTCCCGACATCCAAGACTGATTCCACATATTTTTTTTTCTCATATGTTGCTCTTTATCATCCATGATTCTTGAAAAAAGCTTGCGTTCGTAAGTTACATCGCAACAAAGTTTTGTTTATTACAGACGATCCGTATAGAACGAAGACAAGCGCGCCGATTCCGCGCTTCTCGACATCGGCGACGACCTCCACGTTTAATCGTCCCAAGGAGACCACGACTGCGACTATCCCACACACCTCTCGAAGCACAGAAGCATCTGCCCTGTCTGCGTTTCTGATTCCGGGTGGGCAAGTGCCGTCCTCAGGATCGGCGGTGAATATTCGTCCGCTCGGCAGATCCACAATTACCAAAGTCGCCTCGCCACACCTCGACCGCAATCTAGGCGAGCAATCGAGAGAAAGACAAAAGTTCGTCGCGGACGCTACTCTGAGGAACACCGAAGTCGCCGACGACACGACATTAGGTCAGAACCAGGCGTTCGTCGTCGACGAGGAGGCCAGAGTGACGGACGATGGTCCTTTCAACTGGTATTTCCAGCATTACAACGACACGAACCTGGAACCTTACGTGGGCGTAGTTTACAACGGAGTCACGAAGATCAACGCGTGTCGATGGTTATTCCTGCTCGTTTTGAGCGTCCTGATATAAGGATACCCGGAACTCACGGAATTGTCTTCTTCTCGTTTCTTATCTGCTTGGAGACAACAGTAACGAAACGCAGAGATGATTCGTGTCGATCGGATTTGTCGCCTCGAGACTACAAATCAATAAAGGATATCTTAAGGGCGTTAAGTACACGGAAGAAAGTTTTGTTGAATTAACCAAATATCTGGTCGAATATGAACAATCCAGAAATTCCGATTGAAGTAACCCGAATTCTGTTTAAGACAACAAAAAATCTTGTTAACTTAAAGAATTCAGGTTACTTCAATCGGAATTTCTGGATCGTTCATACTCGACCAGACATTTGGTTAATTCAACCAATCCTTTTTTTCCGTGTAGTTTGTAGGCATAAATTAAAGGAGTTTCTTTGGAATTATTTTACAAACAAATTAGAACACTTTTTTTTACTTTTTAACTTATCATATTTTGAGGAAGTTACATGATTTTTTCATAAGTAAAACTCGCATATTAATTGAATTATAAGACACGGCGCAATACGCTCGTGTCCTGCACGATACAATCGCTTGCAGTGATCTAAAACAAAAACAATAAAAAAAATAAAAAGATATATTTATATGAATGTGGCTATTATTTGAACTATGACTAATTGAACATTGGACTAATTGCAATATTACAATTTATTTTTTGACCCCATCATTTTGTTAAATCTTGTTATTAATCCAATGAGTTTAGATAATAGTCACACTTATATAAAATAAAAATTTTATTTTTTAGTTTTAAATGATCACAAGCGGCTATATGCACGCCAACAGGATACGTGTTACGCCACACCCTATAACTTCATGTAACTTTTTCCAAATATAATAAAAACATACTTGAAAGTTAAAAAATATATGTTTTATAAATGTATATTTACAATTTCTTTGTAAAAAAAAATGCTAAAAAAACTTTTTTAAACTCTTTTTAACTCATACTTAGAAACTGTCCACAAAATCCTTAAAGACATCAAAAATATTCAAAAGAAATAAGACGCCTTTTGGAGATGTCTTTAAGACATCTTTTAGCAGATTGTACTGTCTGGATTGTGAGAGATGATTAAGTACACCGCAATGAAGTCTGTTAATGGATACTCCTGTATGTAAACGTTTCAAGTCGCAAATTACACGTGTACGAGCATGCTATAACAACGAACGATGTATACATTTGCACGACACGTTACACATATTCTGTTTGTGAATCAGGAATTAATGATGCAGGTATGTACAAAGACCGCGCGCACGTGTACTCGCGTTTTTATATTTCCCTCTTTTTTTTTGGCTAAAGCATATATAAAATACATATATAAATAGAGAAGCATTTGTATATTAATGATAGATAAATAAAGCGATATAAGCAAACATTTTATTAGCAGCGTGATGCGTTCTTCTCCAGATTCGAGTTTCCGAAAAAAAAATACACTCTTCACGATGCTCGTCGCATCGTGCGCGCTGTTACGTGAGAATCTCAAGTAAAATTTTCGAATTGAGGAAAGCGCGTCGTACTGACGACCGCGACAACATACTAAGCAATTAGTCGGTCTATGGAGAGCCGTGAAGACAAATATCCAAAATCATATGTCACATTTTCTTATACAGATTACTATTGTTTATATATATTAACGGATTGTTACAATTAAAATGCCGAAAATATTGTAATAATTACAATGATGGTCTGTAAAAATGTCTTAATCCTAAGTTTCTCACGATACATGTATTACCGTTTATCACACTCAAAGGACTAAAGTGCCGAAGTCATCGTTTTCGATTTTCTAATCGAGAGTACTCTCGCGGATTCTCAGAATCAGTTCGGAAACCAGTTTGCAGTGTTCATGGTACGTATTTCAATCGTATCGTTGTTTGTAAATGAAGTGCGATTTTCTGTACAGATCGTGAACATGCTCGGTTACTACACGATTCAATAATATGTCCTCAAATTTAACAGTCTCGATCGGGCAATTGGGCGGGCTCAGAGGTACTCCAGTCACTGGCTCTTAGTTTTCGCCTTCTCCTCTTTCTTCTCCTCTTCCTTCTTCTCTTCCTTCTTCGTTTCCTTCTTGTCTGTTTCCTTTTTCTCAGCATCGCGATTAGTCAGCTTATTGTTAATTAAATTGTGTAACGCCACTATGGACCTAACAAGGGCTGCTAAATATACAACTAACATTTGATCGTTTGTTTTTACATATAACGAATCAACGAAGCTACTTTGGGTCATATCAGGTAACAAATTGAATATATCCTGAAGCTGATAAACGATTTGATGATTTATCGGCAATTTCCCACTGCCAACCTGTCAGAAAAAAGTTTATCTAAATAATTAGCAATTAATTAAGAACTGAAACAGTTATAGTGCAAACTAGTGATAAATGTGTACCTGAAGCAGGTAATCTCTAATTTCTCGGATCTGCTCGTGAAGACCTTTTAAGCCAAGTAATTGGTTCGTAATTCTTTGACTTAGTGTACCGACTGTAGTATCTTTAATATCTCTTAGTAAATGCTCTACTCCAACTTCTTCAGCTTCCTCTGCTCCAATTTCACTAGGAATATGCTCAAAGGTTTTGGAGGTTGGAGAACCATCCTGTATAGATAACATTTTTATTATATGTATACACACACACACATATAGGCTGTTTAAAAAATGGGTTCAAAATTTGTAACTCTAAAAAGGTGAATTTCTCAACCTGTGTTTATTAAACATTTTCTACTGAATATAATGAATATCATTTATCCTCTAAGTCTTGAATCCTTTTTTTAACATTCTGTATATATGTATATATATATATATATATATATATATATATATATATATATATATATATATATAT